CACAGACAACACAACTACAGCCAGGTGTGTGTCTGTGTGTCCGGCTATTCCCACCTCCAAACCCCAGCCGATCCAGGTACATGGCCTCCTGCCCTGAGCCTGGTTCTGCCAGAGTTTTTTTTTCTCCTCCTATTGGGTCTTTTTTTTGGGTCTTTTCCACTGTTGCTGACCGCTTGCTCAGAAGGAGTCCAAAGGGAACTTTGGATTGTTGGGTTCTGTTTAAATTCTAAGGCCTGAACCTGACTATTTGAAGGCTGTGAGATGACATATGTTGTGAACTGCACTATATAAATAAAACTGAATTGTATCTGTGTGTCTGTTGTTTACTCACGCAGCAGGTGCCACTCGTCCTGTTGGATGGTTCTGGTCAGGTTCAGAGGGATGTTCCGCAGTCTGATGGGCTGAGAGAAGTGATATTTGACAGCAGTGCAGCGATCTGCGATACCTGCAGAGCGACACAGGTGAGACACTTTGAACACACCTGAGCTGATGTCGTCACTACACCTGCAGTCAGAGGATCAGGTTTCAAGTTCTCCTAAAGCTGAGCTGTACTTGGACCAGATGGGCAGTGTTTGTAAGCAGCACAGCTCAGAATGAGCAGCAGGTGGCGCTGATGCTTCACTTTAGAGCCTGCAGCAGAAGAAGAGTCTCCAAGTGTTTGGTTCTTTAGCACAGGATGATCTGCACTGACGAGTTCTAAAATCTAACCAGGACTAGGATTAACCAGGACCAAGACAAACCAGAACTAGGACTAACCAGGATCAGAACAAACTAGGAATATGACTCAGCAGTACCAGGACTAGGACCAACAAGGATGACCCAGACCTAATCATGACAAAGACAAGTCAGGACTGGGATTAACCAGGACCAGGACTACCCATGACAAGGACTAACCAGGACCTAGAGTAACTGCTACCACAGCTGACCAGGACCTTGTCTCACCAGTTAAAACGGTGTAAAATGTTAAAAGCAGGTTTCTAGTCTGTGTCTCTGGCAGCGAGGCTCTAATGAAAGAGTCTGTCCAGGTGCATTGTGGGAAATGGAGGCTGCAGTGTTTGTGGACAACAGTGTGCGAGCAGCAGCAGCTGTAATGAGGACAGCAAACCTCAGAAGGACTGAGTAAACATCACAGATTCTCATATCTTAGGCTTACAGGGACAAACTGCACATGATGTGCTTCAGATCAACATGAAGGTTGTTTCTTTGTGAGACTGGATCACAAACAGGAAGCTGCTGCCGATCTCCCCCGCAGGGATCGATTGGTCTAATCTGATCGGCGCTCAGAGTCCAGCCTAATGCAGTGTAATGATATGTAACATAATGTTAGCTAATGCGATTTGGAGCGCTGTAATCTGATGTGTGGTCTGAGTGTTGTCGGTTCTGCTGCTCTCCAAAGCTCTGACCTCCACCTTCAACCGGCAGCCGGCCAGAACCTGCCGAGACAGAACCTGCCGAGACAGAACCTGCACGTGTTATGCTGACCGAACCAAATCAGACGCTTCTGCTCTGCTGGTTGCTAGATGCTGGTGGTGCTGGTCTCAGTCAGAAACCAGTATAAGAAGTTCTAAAACCAGTCTGACACCAGTTTACTGGGCGACACAATGATCCAAGTGTGATTCTGTTAAGTAGAATGTTCTATAGATTTAAAACGAAACAAACTCCAGTCACTCCGTCTCCCTGTACTACCACCACAGTACTGTACTACAACAGAGTACTACAGTACTCCATGTACCATCCATGATCCCTACAGACAGGTGTGTGCTCAGGGCCTCTCATGCATTCATCCTGCATGAATGTAGATGTGCATGTTCAGCCTGACGGCCCATTATTAATGTCCTGTGTGTGTGTGTGTGTGTGTGTGTGTGTGTGTGTGTGTGTCCTTTACTAGGTATCATCAACACAATAACAGAATTATCAATATGTTAAAATAAGTGTGTCCATGTTTCATAAATACATGTTTTAATGAACATGTGTGCACTGAGCTGGTCTATGAGCGTCCAGGTCCATAAACATACCAGGATTACCCTATATCTATGAGTAGTACTGTGTATTACTGTGTATTACTGTGTATCTATGAGTACCTATGAGTATTTGAGTATTTCTGAGTATCTATGAGTATGTCTCGTACAAAGAGGGAAACACTGACCCCGGTCTATGAGCTTGTCGATGTCCGGGTCCAGGCCCTTGAAGTAGCACTTCCTCCACAGGCCGGAGTGGGTGGAGAACAGCGGCCTGCCGCACTCCGTCTCCAGGATGCCCATCCCCAGGATGGCCCGCCAGTTCTCCAGCAGCTCCTCCTCTCTGCTGCCCACATGAACGGGCTTCATGAGCGCCACGTCCCGCTGCCGGGCGCCGCCGCTGCCGGTGTCCACCAGCGGCAGGTGGTAGATGGGCATCTCCCGGTTCTTCTGGTCGTTGGAGTCGGAGCCGTGGCGGTCGCAGTTGTCCTTGTGGCGGCGGGTGTCGGTCTCGTACCAGTGGTCGGTGGAGATGGCGGTGACCAGCAGCAGCAGCGACAGCACGCTGAGCGCCAGGCTCACCGCGGACACCGTCACCGTGGCCGGCCGGGCTCGCTCCATGGCCGGCGCATGGACCGAGCCGCTCCCGGTGCAGCCGCTGCCGGAGCACGTCCCGTCGCTCGCTCGGTTCCCGCCGCTGGTTCCGTTACTGGGCATCTTCTGCTGCCATCCTCGCGCCCGTCAGCCGTTCCCGGTTTGCCCTCGAGAGCGCGTTGTCATGCCGACTGACGGTCCGTCAGAGCTGCGTCAAGGTGGAGGCAGGTACCGGTACCGGGGGGCGGGAGGAGGGCTGCCTTCACAATAAACACGACGCGTAGGGAGGGGGGCGTAAACACCGACACCACCACCACCA